TTCCATATATGTAGCAAGGACAGTCATTTGCTCACCACAAGTCAACCAGGAACAGCGTTTGGGAGAACATTTCATTTTCACAGGATCCGTGGCCAGCCACCTTGTTACAGCCCTTTGGTTTGGAGATAGAAGCTTATTTCCAGGTCAGATTCTGGGAAAAAAGGAGTCAAAAAGGATGTGCTAAAAAGGAAACTGATACTTCCACTGGGAGGCCTCCTCCCACAGACCTTTCTTCCAAATACGTCCAGTCAAGACAATACATTTCAGTTGGGACCTCTGTTTTCAGGCAATGTCTAGCAATCCCCATGGATCAGGAGTCAAAAAACACAGCATACACAGGATTCAGGTTCATAAATATTGGATGCATGTCCTCTCATATCTCAAATTATCAAGTGGTCTACAATGTGATAATTGGGTTTTTTGAGCAATATTTGGAATGTTTGAGTCTAACCTGCTGCTTTTAATCAGTGAGTTGCCACCACTTGAGTTTTCAAGAGGATTGAATTCACAAGTGGATATCATATCTACTTCTTAGTTTTTGACCCCTGTCAACATGACTCCAGCACCCTCTATTTGTTTGCATCACCATTCCACATTCCCCATTTCCTCAGAAGATGTGAAACTAAGGCCATCGTCTAGAACAATTTGAGCAAAAGAATGCTTTAGCATGTATTCATGAGCCTGCATCTCCAGTTTCTCTCATGCTCGACAAAATCCTCTTCTACCTGAGTTTAGAGAAAACCCTGGACATCATCAAACACCAGGCTTAGAGCATCTGCGAGCTTTCTTTGCTCCAGTCTCATACGGGTCTGAAGAGAAAAGGTACTCATATTAGTTCAGAGTTCAGTTTGGCTCCAGAACTTAGAGTTCCCATGCCAAAGTGGCCCATAGTAACTGATAAATAATGGTCATGACTCCCAATCCCAGCCATGCTCTACCAAAGCGTGGTGCCTGCCATCCATCCAGCATGGGCAGAATATTGTATTGAGAGACACAAAGAGAGAATTTGTGGAAAGGAAGGGTTTGTTAAAATGCCCAGCATTTGTGAAAGTGGTGAAGACTTTACAATCCAATTTGCCCATTTCATGGAGGTGTCCTTCCTCAGGGTTGAGCACCCATGGTTAGCCTCTCAAACTTAGAGTGCTCCACAACTAGAGAAATGTCAGGGCTATCCTCAGGATCATGTCAGTTTACACATCTGTCATGAAGGAAGGTCCTCAGTGTAAGTCAACTGCACAAGACTCTTAAGACAACACCTCCCTAGAGACAAGGCATAGATTTCATAGATTTCATAGATCCAGCTAGGCATCCTGTTTTACTGCCTTTTGATGGAGGCCCATAGGCTCACCACAAGTAAACAAGTGCAACCAGATAACTGGAGACTATTTGATTTTCAGAGGAAATGAGGACAGGCAATTGGGTGATGTCCTTCATCCAGGGACTAACAGTTATTCCCAAGGATTTCTCTGAAGAAGGCATCCCTGTGAAAAGGAGGAGGACAGCTTGAGTGAACAAGCTGTATACTACCTCCCTAATTTTGCTGTCTCATATAATCATTTTATCCACACAATTATGAAATTAGATACCAGCTCATGTGGAATCTGACAGGCAGGTTGAGACAGAAGTTCCTCCATAAGTGGAGTGAAGTTCAGACAGGGTCCTTTTGATACAGCTTGGACATGCCTCCCTTTGTATCTCAGTTGGGAAAGATTTCCTCATTCTCTCTCTTTTTTTTTTTTTTTTTTTTTGAGTTGGAGTGTCACTCTGTCACCCAGACTGGAGTGCAGTGGCTGCTCCCGGCCACCGCAGCCTCGACCTGCTGGGCTCCGGTGATCCTTCCACCTCAGTTTTCCAAGTACCTGGAACTACAGGCATGCACTACCACGCCCGGCTGATTTTTTGATTTATTGTAGAGATGAGGTCTCACTGCCCAGGCGGGTCTCGAATCGCGGGCTCAGGCAATCCACTCACCTCAGCCTCCCAAAGATGTGGGATTACAGGTTGCGCCACCAAGCCTGACTGATTTCCTCATTCTCAAAGATGCATTGCCATAGCAAAGCTTCGTTATGGGGCATTTTGCCAGGGATTTAACATGTGTGTTCTCATATCTTGAGTTCTGAAGAAAGGTGGTGGTAAGAAAAATGTTGGACAGTATTTATTACTTGTGTGCCCTCTCTCATCAGGAGACCAGTGGATTATCTTTGCTCTGTGCCACCATTCCAAACTCTCTAAGTTTCCACAAGGTGTCCAGCTGAGGACACGGCCAATTACATCGTGAGCCACAGATACTAGAACTATTAGAAAACAAGCCTGATTCTCTCTTTTCCTTAGAGCAGGATGAAAGTCCATTCGTCCTCCATTTGGAAAAGAAGCATGCGACTCCTAGAAGAACATGCCAAGAGCATCTCAAGGCGCCTTTTTGTTCAGTTTCAACCAGGCTTTGAGAGAAATACTGCATGCATTGGTGAAGGTCCAGCTTGCCTCCAAGATCAAGAACACCTCCTTGATTGATGACCCTCAGTGACTGGTAAAACATTGATCATGACAACCAATCAAAATCATGCGCTCCTCTATGACGGTGCATGCCATGCAACCATTCTGAGCATAATTTTCCACTGAAAGACATAAAGTGTGATGTGGTGCTCAGCAAGGGATGCTAAAATGCCCAGTACCTGGGATGAGAATGAAAGTATTATGTAATCTGGGGAATTTTTTGGAGGAGCATATCCACATGCTCCACAAGATGGCTTCCCATACTTCAAGTTATCCAGCACCAAACTCATTCGTTCCGATGGGTCCATTATCATTTTCCCCCTGTTGGTTTACACAACTGTCTTCTAGGCTGGGCCTCAGCGTCATGCTATTGTACTTGATATTTAAGTCATCACCACTCCTCAAGGCAATATCAAGTACTCATCATTGACCCAACAAAAGTATCTGCCAATTCCATATATGTAGCAAGGACAGTCATTACTCACCAGAAGTCAACCAGGAACAGTGTTTGGGAGATTATTTCATTTTCGTGGTATCCGTGGACAGCCAGTTAGTTACAGCTCTTTGTTTTTGGGATAGTAGCTTACTTCCAGGCTACCTTCTTGGTGAAAAGGAGGCAAAAAGGCATGGCAAAAAGGAAACTGATACTTCCACTGGGAGTTCTCCTCCCACAGAACTTTGTTCCAAATACATCCAGATGAGTCAATACATTTCAGTTGGGACTTCTGTTTTCAGGCAGTGGCTGGTGATCCCCATGGATTAGGAGACAAAGAACACACCATACACAGGGTTCAGAGTGATACATATCCTGTGTGTGGTGAACGATCAGAGGATGCATGCCCTCTCATATCTCAAGTTATAAAGCGGTCTACATGTAATAATTGGGTTTCTTGAGCAACATTTGGAATCCTTGAATCTAACCTGTTGCTTTTAATCAGTGAGTTTTCACTGCATGAGCTTTCAAGAGTGTTGATGACTTCACAAGTGGATATCATATCTACTTCTTAGTTTGTGTTCCCTCTCAACATGACTGCAATTCCCTCTACTTGTTTGTGTCAGCATTCCACATTCTCTGATGCCTCAGAAGATGTGCACTTAAGGACATCATGTGGAACAAATTAAGCAAAAGAATGCTTTAGCATGTATTCATTAGCCTCCATCTCCAGTTTCTCCCGTGCTTGATAAAATTCTCTTCTCTCTGAGTTTAGAGGAGACAATGAACATTATCAAACACCAGGCTTAGGGCACATGCAGGGACACTTTGTTCCAGTTTCATATGGATCTCAAGAGAAAATGTACTCATACTGCTTCAGAGTTCAGTTTTGCTCCAGAACTGAGAGTTCCCATGCCTCATTGGCCCCAGGAACTGATGAATGATGGTCATGACTCCCAATCCCAGCCATTCTCTCCCCTAGCATGGTGTGTGCCATCCATTCAGTGTGGGCAGAATATTTCATTGAGAAACACAAAGAGAATTTTTGGTAAGGAAGGGGTAGTTCAAGTACCCATCTTTTGTGAAAATGGTCAAGACATTACAATTGAATATGTGTATATCATGGAGGAGTGCTTCCTCAGGGTTGAGCACCCCTGGTTAACCTCTCTGGCTTAGAGTACTCCACAACTAGAGCAATGTCAGGGCCAACATCAGGCTCACATCAGTTTGCACACAAGCACGTAAGAAGTTCCTCAGCATAACTCTATTGTGCAAGACTTTTAAGACAACACCTCTCTAGAGACAAGTCAAACATTTCATCATTGACCCAGCTAGGCATCTTTCTTTGCTGTCTCCTTTTGAAAGTTGCCCATAGGCTCACCACAATAACCAAATGCAACCAGATTCCTGGAGACTATTTGACTTTCTGAGGAAATGAGGCAAGTCACCTGGGTGACATCCTTTGTTCAGAGACTAACAGTTATTCCCAAGGACTTCTCTGAAGAAGGGATCCTTGTGAAAAAGAAGAGGACAGCTTGAGTGAACAAGCTGTCTACTACCTTCCTAATATTGCTATGTCATACAATTATTTCATCCACATAATGACGAAATTAGATACATGCTCATGCGGAATCCATCATTTAAGCTGAGATAGCAGTTCCTCCATGACTGGAGTCAAGTCCAGAGATGGTAATTTTGATACAGCTTGGACATGCCTCCCTTCGTATCTCAGGTGGGAAAGAGTTCTGCATTCTCAAAGATTGATTTCTGTAGTAAAGCTTGATTATGGGACATTTTTCCAGGGGTTTCACCTGTGTGTGCTCTGATATCATGAGTTCGGAAGAAAGGTTGTGATTTGAAAAATGTTGGCCAGCCTCTATTGACTTGTGTGCCTCTCTCACCAGGAGAACAGTGGATTCTTTTTGCTGTGTGCCACCATTGCCATCTAAGTTACCAGAAGGCACCCATCTGAGGACATGGCCATTCACATCATGAGCCAAGACCCATTGACTATTATTAAACAAACCTGATTATCTCTTTTCCTTAGAGCAGGACAAAGTCTATTCGCCCTCCATTTGGAAAAGAAGCATGGGCCTCTTATAACAGCATGCCAAGAGCATCTCAAGGTCCCTTTTTGTGCAGTTTCACTCAGGTCTTGAGAGAAAAACTACACACATTTTTGAAGGTCCAGCTTGCCTCCAAGTCCAAAAACACCCCTTGATTGATGACCCTCGGTGACTAGTAAACCATTGGTCATCACAACCAATCTAAGTCATGTACTCCTCTGCGATGATGCATTCCTTGCAGTCACTCTGATCAGAATTATCCACCGAAAGACACAAAATGAGATGTGGTGCTCAGCGGATGATAAAATGCCCAGGACCTGTGAGGGGGATAAATGTATAAGGCTAAAATGGGGAATTTTTATGGAGGAGCATATCCACATGCTCCACAAGATGGCCTCCCATACTTCAAGTTCTACAACTCCAAACTTGATCGTACTGAAGGGACCATCATCATTTTCCCCATGTGGGTTTTCACAACTGTCTTCTAGGCTAGGCCTCAGCATCATGCCATTGTACGTGATACTTAAGTCATCACAGCTCCTCAAGGCAATATAAAGTACTCATCATTGACCCAACAACAGTATCTTCCAATCCCATAAATGTAGCAAGGACAGTCATATGCTCACCACAAGCAACCAGGAACAGCGTTTGGGAGAATATTTCATTTTCAGAGTATCCATGGACAGCCACCTTGTTACAGCCCTTTGATTTCAGGATAGCAGCTTATTCCCTGGCTTGCTTATGAGAGAAAAGGAGTCCAAGATGGGCACGTCAAAAAGGAAACTGATACTTCCACTGGGAGGCCTCCTCCCACAGACCTTTCTTCCAAATTCATCCAGATGAGACAATATGTTACAGTTGGGACCTCTGTTTTGGGGCAACCTCTGGCAATCCCCATGGATCAGGAGCCAAAGAACACAGTATACCCTGGGATCAGGGTGATACATATTGAATGTGTGCCCTCTCATATCTAGTGCTTGATGGTTCAAGAGTGTTGATGAATTCACAAGTGGATATCAAATCTAATTTTTATTTTGTGTCCCCACTCAACATGATTGCAGCAACCTCTACTTGTTTGCATCACCATTCCACATTTTCTGATTCCTCAGAAGATGTACAACTAAGGCTATTGTCTGGAACATGTTGTGGGAAAGAATGCTTTAGCATGTATTCATGAGCTTGCCTCTCCAGTTTCTCTCATGCTCAACAAAATACTCTTTTCCCTGAGTTTAGAGTAGACATTGGACATCATCAAACACCAGGCTTAGAGCATCTGCGGGTTCTCTTTGCTCCAGTCTTATATGGGTCTCAAGAGAAAAGTACTCATATTGGTTCAGAGTTCCATTTGGCTCCAGAACAGAGAGTTCCCATGCCTAAGTGGCCCACAGGAACTTATGAATAAAAGTCATGACTCCCAACTCTAGCAATGCTGTTCTCTAGCACTGAGAGAAAAACTGCACACATTTTTGAAAAGGAGTCAAAAAGGGCGTGTCTAAAAGGAAACTGATACTTCCACTGGGAGTCCTCCTCCCACAGATCTTTCTTCCAAATACATCCAGACGAGACCATACATTTCAGTTGAAACCTCTTTTTTCTGGCAACATCTGGGATCCCTATGGATCAGGAGCCAAAGAACACAGCATACCCAGGGTTCAGGGTGATACATATTGGATGCGTGTCCTCTCATATCTCAAGTTATAAAGTGGTCCACATTGTAATAATTGGGTTTCTTGAGCAATATTTGGAATGTTTGAATCTAGCCTGCTGTTGTAATCAGTGAGTTTTCACCACTGGAGCTTTCAAGAGTGTTGATGAATTCACAAGTGGATATCATATCTACTTCTTAGCTTTTGTCCCCTCTCAACATGACTGAAGCACCCTCTACTTGTTTGCATCACCATTCCACATTCCCTGAGCCCTCAGAAGATGTGCAACTAAGGCCAACGTCTGGCAAAAGTTGAGTGAAAGAATGCGTTAGCATGTATTCATGAGCTTGCCTCTCCAATTTCTCTCATGCTCGCAAAAATCCTCTTCTCCCTGAGTATAGAGGAGACTCTGGACATCATCAAACACCAGGTTTAGAGCATCTGTGAGTTATCTTTGCTCCAGTCTTATACGGGTCTCAAGAGAAAATGTATTCATATTGTTTCAGAGTTCAGTTTGGCTCCAGAACTGAGAGCTCCCATGCCTAAGTGGCTCACAGGAACTTATGAATGATGATCATGATTACCAATCCCAGCCATGCTCTTCTATAGCATGGTGCATGCCATTCATCCAGCATGGGCAGAATATTTCATTGAGTGACAAAAAGAGAGTACTTGCTTAAGGAAGGGGTTTTTTAAGTGCCTGAGTTTTCTGAAATGGGTCAAGACAAAACAATTGAATTATCCTATTTCATGGGGGAGTGCTTCCTAGAATTATCCTATTTCAGGGAGGAGAGCACCCCTGGATAGCTTCTCCGGCTTAGAGTCCTGCCCTACTAGGGCAATGTCAGGACCATCCTGAGGCTCACTTCTGTTTGCACACCTGACACGCAAGAAGGTCTTCAACGTAACACTATTGCACAAGACTTTTAAGACAACACCTCTCTAGAGACAAGGCAAAGATTTCTTTATTGACCCAGCTAAGCATCCTCCTTAGATGCCTTCTTTTGAAAAAGGCTCATAGGCTCACCAAAAGTAACCAATTGTGACCAGATTACTAGAGACTATTTGACTTTCTGAGGAAATGAGGTCAGGCTCCTGGGTGACATCATTCCTCCAAAGACTAACAGTTATTTCCAATGACTTCTCTGAAGAAGGGATCCTTGTGAAAAAGAGGAGGGCAGCTTGAGTGAACAAGCTGTCTACTACCTCCCTAATTTTGCTGTCTCATACAATTGGTTCATCCACACAATGATGCAATTAGATACCTGCTCATGGGGAATCTGTCCAGTAGGCTGAGACACAAGTTTCTGCATGAATGGAGTCAATTCTAGACAGGGTAGTTTAGAAACAGCTTGGACATGCCTCCCTTCACATCTCAGGTGGAAAAGAGTTCCTCATTCTCAAAAGATAGATTTCCATAGCAAAGCTTGGTTATGAGACATTTTGCCAGGGATTTAACCCGTGTGTTTGCATATCTTGAGTTCTGAAGAAGGGTGGTGTTACGAAAATGTTGGACAGTCATTTTTGACTTGTGTCCCCTCTCCCATCAGGAGACCACTGTATTGTCTTTACTCTGTGCCACCATTCCAAGTTCTCTAAGTTTTCAGAATGTGTACAGCTGAGGACTTGGCCCTTCACATCGTGAGTCACAGATACATTGACTATTATTCAGCAAGCCTGATTCTCTCTTTTCCTTAGAGCAGGAAAAAAGTCTATTCATCCTCCATTTGGAAAAGAATCATGGGCCTCCTAGAAGAGCATGCCAAGAGCATCTCAAGGCATCTTTTTGTCCACTTTCACCCAGGACTTGAGAGAAAACTGCACACATTGGTGAAGGTCCAGCTTGCCTCCAAGACCAAGAACACCCCGTTGATTGATGACCCTCGGTGACTGGTAAACCATTGGTCTTGACAACCAATAGAAGTCAGGACTTGAGAGAAAACTGCACACATTGGTGAAGGTCCAGCTTGCCTCCAAGACCAAGAACACCCCGTTGATTGATGACCCTCGGTGACTGGTAAACCATTGGTCTTGACAACCAATAGAAGTCATGCACTCCTCTACGATGGTGCATGCCATGCAGCCATTCTGAGAAGAATTTTCCACTGAAAGACACAGTGTGAGATGTGGTGTTCAGCAGATGCTAAAATGCGCAGGACCTGAGATGACGATTAATGTGTAAGGATAAATTGGGAAATTTTTATGGGGGAGCATATCCACATGCTCCACAAGATGCCTCCCGGATGTCAAGTCTTCCAGCAACAAACTAGATTGTACCATAGGGACCATCATCATTTTCCCAATGTTGGTTTGCACAACTGTCTTCTAGGCTGGGCCTCAGCATCATGCTATTGTACATGATACTTAAGTCATCACCACTCCACAAAACAATATAAAGTACTCATCATTGGCCAAACAAGAGTATCCCCCAATCCCACATATGTATGAAGGACAGTCATATGCTCACCACCAGTCAAGCAGGAACAGCAATTGGGAGGATATTTCATTTTCAGATGATCCTTGACCAGCCACCTCATTACAGTCCTTTGTGTATGGGATAGCAGCTTATTTCCAGGCCACCTTCTGGGAAAAAAGTAGTCAAAATGGGCATGTCAAAAAAGAAACTGATACTTCAACTGGGAGGCCTCCTCTCACAGATCTTTCTTCCAAATACACCCAGACAAGACATTACATTTCAGTTGGGACATCTGTTTTCAGACAACGTCTGGTGGTCCCCATGGATCAGGAGCCAAAGAACACAGCATACCCAGGGTTCAGAATGATACATATTGGATGCATGTCCTCTCATATCTCAATTTACAAAGTGGTCTAGAGTGTAATAATTGGGTTTCTTGAGGAATATTTGGAATGTTTGATTCTAGCCTGCTGCTTATAATCAGTGAGTTTTTACCACTTGAGCTTTAGAGAGTGTTGATGACTTAACAAGTGGATATCATATCTACTTCTTAGTTTGTGTCCCCTCTCAACATGACTACAGCACCCTCTACTTGTTTGTGTCACCATTCCACATTACCTGATTCCTCAGAAGATGTGCAACTAAGGCCATCATCTGGCACAAGTTGAGCGAAAGAATGCTTTAGCATGTATGCATGAGTCTGCCTCTCCAGATTTTCACATGTTCACCTTGTGAGTTTTCAAGAGTTTTGATGATTTCACAAGTGGATATCATATCTACTTCTCAGTTTCTCTCCTCTCTCAACATGACTGCAGCACCCTCTACTTGTTTGTGTCACCATTCCACATTCCCTGAGCCCTCAGAAGATGTGCAACTAAGACCATCGTCAGGCCTAAGGTGAGCGATAAAATGCTGTAGTATATTCATGAGCCTGCCTCTCCAGCTTCTCTCAAGCGTGATAAAATTCTCTTCACCCTGAGATTAGAGGAGATGCTGGACAACTTCAAACACCAGGCTGAGAGCATCTGAGTCTCTCTTTGGTCCATGCTCATATGAGTCTCAGGAGAAAAGATACTCATATTGGTTCAGAGTTAAGTTTGGCTCCAGAATTGAGAGTCCCCATATCTCCATGTGCCGCAGGAACTTATGGATGATGGTCATGAGTCCCAATCCTAGCCATGCTCACCTGTAGGATGGTGTGTGCCATCGATCCAGCATGGCCAGAATATTTCATTGAGAGACACAAAGAGAGAATTTGTGGTAGGGAAGGGGGTGTTCAAGTGCCCCACTTTGGGGAAAGGGTTCAAGAGACTACAATCAAATTTGCCAATTTCATGGAGAAGTGCTCCTTCAGGGTTGAGCACCCCTAGATAACCTCTGTGGCTTAGAGAGCTCCACAACTAGAGTGATGCCAGGGCCATCATCAGCCTCTCGTCAGTTTGCACACTTGTCAGGTAAGAAGGTCCTCAGCATAACTCTATTATGCATGACTTTTAAGACAACTCCTCTTTAGAGACAAGACAAAGATTTCATTATTGACGCAGCTAGGCATCCTGCTTTGATGCCTCCTTAAGAGAGAGGCCCAGAGGTTCACCACAAGTAACAAAACATAACCAGATTACTGGAGACTGTTTGACTTTTTGAGGAAATGAAGCCAGGCACATGGATGACATCCTTCATCCTATAGACTAACAGTTATTCCCTAGGCATTCTCTGAGGAAGGGATCCCTGTGAAAAACAGGAGGACAGCTTGAGTGAACAGGCTGTCTACTACCTCCCTAATTTTGCTGTCTCATACAATCGGTCCCTCCACATAATGATGAAATGAGATACCTGCTAATATGGAATCCGTCCAGTAGGCTTAGACAGAAAGTCCTCCAAGTTTGGAGTCAAGTCCATAGAGGGTAGTTTTGATAAAGCTTGGACACAACTCCCTTCGTATCTCAGGAGGGAAAGCGTCCTCATTCTCAAAGATGGATTTCCGTAGTAAAGCTTGGTAATGTGGCATTTTGTCAGGGGTTTAACATGTGTGTGTTCTCACATTTTGAGTTCTGAAGAAAGGGGGTGGTTTGAATAATATTGGACAGTCATTATTGACTTGTGTGCCCCCTTTCACCAGGATACCAGTAGATTCTATTTGCTCTGTGCCACCATTCCAAGCTCTTTAAGTTCTCACAAGGCGCCTTACTGAGGTCATGGCCATTCACATCGTGCGATACAGATACATTGACTATTATTAAACAAGCCAGGTCCTCTTTTTTCCTTAGAGTGGGACAAAAGTCTATTCACCTTCCATTTGGAAAAGAAGCATGGGTCTCCTAGAACAGCATGCCAAGAGCATCTCAAGGAGCCTTTTTGTCCAGTTTTACCCAGGTCTTGAGAGAAAAACTGCCCACATTGGTGAAGGTTCAACTTGCCACCAAGACCAAGAACTCCTCATTGATTGATGACCCTCGGTGACTGGTAAACTATTGGTCATGAAAACCAATCGAAGTCATGTACTCCTCTACAATGGAGTTGTATGTCATTCTGAGCAGAATTTTCCACTGAAAGACACAAAGTGAGATGAGGTGCTCAGCAAGGGATGCTAAAATGACCAGTACTTGGGATGAGGATTAAAGTATAAGGATAACATAGGGAATTTTTATGGAGGAGCATACCCACATGCTCCACAAGATGGCCTCCCGTACTTCAAGTTCTCCAGCATGAAACTCGATCACAATGGAGGGATCATCATTTTCCCCATATTGGTCTCCACAACTGTCTTCGAGACTGGGCCTCAGCGGCATGCCATTGTACATGATATTTAAGTCATCACTGCTCCTCAAGGCAATAAAATTACTCATCATTGACCCAACAAAAGTATCCACCAATTCCATATAAGTAACAGCGACAGTCATATGCTCACCACAAGTCAACCTGGAACAGTGTTTGGGAGAACATTTGATTTTCAGAGGATCCATGGCCAACCACCTGATTACAGCCCTTTATTTTTGGGATAGCAGCCTATTTCTAGGCCAGTTTCTGGGAGAAAGAGACCCAAAAGGGGTGTAACAAAGGAACTGATACTTTCACTGGGAGACCTCTCTCACAGACCATTCTTTCAAATACATCTAGACGAGATACTACATTTCAGTTGGGACCTGTGTTTTCGGGCAAGATCTAGCGATCCCCATGGATCAGAAGCCAAAGAACACAGCAAACACAGAATTCAGGGTGATACATATTGGATGAATGTCTTCTCATATCTCAATTTATAAAGTGGTCTACAGTGTAATAGTTGGGTTTCTTGAGCAATATTTGAATTGTTTGAATCTAGCCTGCTGTTTGTATCAGTGAGTTTTCACCACTTGACCTTATAAGAGTGTTGATGAATTCACAAGTGGATATCATATCTACTCCTTAGTTTGTGTCTGCTCTAAACATAACTGCAGCACCCTCTACTTATTTGCATCACATTCCACATTCCCTGATTCCTCAGATGATGTGCAACTAAGGCCATCATCTGGCACAAGTTGAGCAAAAGAATGCTTTAGCATGTATTCATGAGCCTGCCTCTCCAGTTTCTCTCATCGTGACAAAATCCTCTTCTCCCTGAGTTTTAGGAAACCCTGGCATAATCAAACACCAGGCTTAGAGAATCTGCAGGCTCTCTTTGCTCCAGTCACGTAAGTTCCTCAAGAGAAAAGGTACTCATATTGGTTCAGAGTTCAGTTTGACTCCACAAGTGGGAGTTCCCATGACTCAGTGGGCCACAGGAACTTATGAATGATGGTCATGACTCCCAATACCAGCATGCACTCCACTAGAATGGTGCATGCCATCGATCCAGTGTGGGCCGAATATTTCATTGAGGGCCACAAAGAGAGTATCTGTGGTAAGGAAAGGGTGGTTAAAGTACCACGCTTTTGGGAAAAGGCTCAAGACATTACAATCGAATTTGCCAATTTCGTGGAGGGGTGCTTCCTCAGGCTTGAGCACCCCTGGGTAACCTCTGTGTCTTAGAGAGCACCACAACTAGAGCTATGCCAGGGCCATCATAAGGTTCACGTCAGTTTTCACACCTGTCACATAAGAAGGTCCTCAGCATAAGTCTATTGAGCATGACTTTTAAGAAAACACCTCCCAAGAGACAAGGTAAAGATTTCATTATTGACCCAGCTAGGCAAACTCCTTTGCTGCCTCTTTTGGGAAGACTCCCATAGGCTCACCACAAGTAACCAAACATGACCAGATTACTGGAGGCTATTTGAATTTCTGAGGAAATGAGACCAGGACCCTGGGTGACGTCCAACTAACAGTTATTCCCAAGGCATTCTCTGAAGAAGGGATCCCCATGAAACATGGAGAACAGCTTGAGGGAAAAAGCTGTCTACAAGCTCCCAAATTATGCTGTCTCATACAATCAGTTCCTCCACATAATGATGAAAGTGATACCTGCTCATGTGGAATCCATCCAGTATGCTGAGACAGAAGTTCCTCCAGGACTAAAGCTAAGTCCAGAGAGGGTACTTTAGATAAAATTTGGAGTTGCCCCTGTTCGTATCTCAGGTTGGAAAGAGTTTCTCATTCTGAAAGAGGGAATTTTGTGGATAGGCTTGGTTATGGGGCATTTTCCCAGGTGGTTAACATGTGTGTGTTCTCACATCTTGAGTTCTGAAGAATGGTGGTAATTTCAAAAATGTTGGACAGTTATTTTTGACATGTGTGCCCCCTCTCACCAGTAGACCAGTGGATTCTCTTTGCTCTTTGGCACCATTCCAAGCTTTCTGAGATCACTGGAGGTACACAGCATGGTACATGACCACTCACATCGTAAGCCACAGATACATTGACTATTATAAAGTAAGCCTGATTCTCTCTTTTCTTAGAGCAGGAGAAAAGACTATTAACCCTCCATTTGGAAAAGATACATGGGCCTCCTAGAACAGCATGGTAAGAGCATCTCAAAGTGTCTTTTCATCTATTTTCACCCAGGCCTCGAGAGAAATACTGCACACATTGGTGAAGGTCCAGCTTGCCTCCAAGACCATGATGTCCTCACTGATTGATGACATTCAGTGACTGGTAAACCATTGGTCATGACTACTAATCACAGTCTTGCACTCTTCTATGATGGTGCATGCCATGCAGCCATGCTGAGCAGAAGTTTCCACTGAAAGACACAAAGTGAAATGGGGTGCTCATCAAGGGATGCTAAAATACCCGGGACCTGAGATGAGGACTACAGTATAAGGGTAACATTGGGAATTTATGGAGGAGCATATCCACATGGGGGTGCTCCACAAGATGGCGTCCTGTACTTCAAGTTCTCCAGCACCAAACTCGATCAAACCGCTGGGAGCATCATCATCTTCCCCATGTTTCTTACCACAACTGTCTCCTATGCTGGGCCTCAGTGTCATGCCATTGTACATAATATTTAAGTCTTTCCCACTCCTGAAGGCAATATAAAGTACACATCTTTGATCCAACAAAATATCCACCAGTCCCATATCCATCACAAGGACAGTCATATGCTCACCACAAGTCAACCAGGAGCAGTCTTTCGGAGAATATTTCATTTTCAGAGGATTGGTGGCCAGCCACATGGTAGCAGCCCTTTGTTGCTGCGATAGCAGTTTATTTCCAGGCCAGCTTCTGGGAGAAAAGGGGCCAAAAAGGGCATGTCATAAAGGAAATTGATACTTCCAAAGAGAGGCTGCCTCCCAGAGACCTTTCTTCCAAATACATCCAGACAAGACAATACTTTTCAGTTGGGACCTCTGTTTTCGGGCAACATCTGGAGATACCCATGAATCAGGAGCCAAAGAACACAGGATACACAGGGTTCAGGGTGATACATTTTGGATGTGTGTCCTCTCACATCTCAATTTGCAAAGCGGTCTACAGTGTAATAATTGGGTTTCTTCAGCAATATTTGGAATGTTTGAATCTAGCCCGCTGCTAGTAATCAGGGAGTTATCACCTCATGAGCTTTCAAGAGTGTTGATGATTTCACAAGTGGATATCATACCTACGTCTTAGTTTGTGTCCCCTATCAATATGACTCCTGCACCCTCTACTTGTTTGTGTCACCATTCCACATTCCCTGAGCCCTCCAAAGATGTGCAACTAAGACTATCATCTTTCACAAGTTGAGCAAAAGACTGCTCTAGTATGTATCATGAGACTACCTCTGCAGTTTCTCTCAAGATCGACAAAATCCTCTTGCCCCTGAGGTTAGAGGACACCCTGGACATCATCAAACACCAGGTGGAGAGCATCTGAAGGTTCTCTTTGCTCCAGTCTCATACGGGTCTCAAGAGAAAAGGTTCTCTTATCGGTTCAGAATTCAGTTTGGCTAGAGAACTGTGAGTTCCCATGCCTCAGTGGGCTGCAGGAACTTATGAATGATTGTCATGACTCCAAATCACAGCCATGCTCTCCCCTAGGATGGTGTGTGCCATCGAGTCAGCATGGACCAAATATTTCATTGAGAGACACAAAGCAAGAATTTGTGGCAATGAAGGGGTAATTAAAATGCCCCACTTTTAGGAAAGAGGTCTGGACATTGCAATCAATTTTACAATTTCTTGGAGGAGTGCATTCTCAGGGTTGAACACCCCTGGATAGCCTCCATGGCTTCGAGAGCTCCACAACTAAAATGATGCCAGGGCCATCATCAGGCTCATGTCAGTGGGCACACCTATCACGTAAGAAGGTCCTCAGTGCAACTCTATTGTGCATGACTTTTAAGACATCAACTCTCTAGACATTGGGCAAAGATTTCATCATTGACCCAGCTAGGCATCCTCCTTTGATGCTTCCCTTGGATAGAGGCCCATAGGCTCACCACAAGTAACCAAATGTGACCAGATTACCAGAGACTACTTGAATTTTTGAGGAAATGAGGCCTGGAACCTGGGTGATGTCTTTCATTTCAGAGACTATAAGTTATTCCCAAGAGCTTCTCTGAAGAAGGTATCCCTGGGAAAAAGAGGAGAACACCTTGAGTGAACAAGCTGTCTACTACCTTCAAAATTACGCTGTCTCACACAGTCTGTTCCTCCACATAATGATGAGAGGAGATACCTGCTCATGTGGAATTCGTCCAGTAGGCTGAGGCTGAGACAGAAGTTCTTCTGGTACAGAAGTCAAGGTCATACAGGGTACTTTTCATACAGCTTGGACATGCTGCCCATCGTATCTCAGGTGGGAAAGATTTCCTCATTCTCAAAGATGGGATTTCATGGAAAAACTTCGTTATGGGGCATTTTGTCAGGTGGTTAAGATGTGTGTGTTCTCACATCTTGAGATCTGAAGAAAAGTGGTGGTTTCAAAAAAGTTGGAAAGTCATTTTTGACTTGTGTGCCCCCTCTCACCAGGATACCAGTGGATTCTCTTTATTCTGTGCCACCATTCCAAGCTCTAAGTTCTTAGAAGTTGTCCAGGTGAAGAAATGGCCATTCACATTGTGAACCACAGATACATTGACTATTATTAAATGAGCCAGATTCTCTCTTTTCCTTAGAGTTGAACAAATGTTTTTTCACCCTCCATTTGGAAAAGAAACATGGGCTTCCTAGAAAAGCATGCCAAGAGCATCTCAAGGCACCTTTTCATCCTGTTTCACCCAGGCCTTGAGAGAAAAATGCACACATTGGTGAAGGTCCATCTTGCCTCCAAGACCAAGAATTCCTGACTTATTGGTGATACTCAGTGACTGGTAAACCATTGGTCATAATAGCTAATTGCAATCTTGCACTCCTCTATAAAGGTGCCTGTCATGCAGTCATACTGAGAAGAAATTTCCATTGGAACACACCAAGTGAGATTTGGTGCTCAGCAAGGGATGGTAAATGCCCAGGACATGGATTGAGGATTAAAGTAAAAGGGTAATATGGGTAATTTTTATGGAGGAGCATATCCACATGGGGCTGTTCCACTAGATGGCCTTCCATACTTCAAGTTCTCCAGCAACAAGTTTGATCGTACAGTCGGGACCATCATCATCTTCTCCATGTTGGTTTCCACAACTGTCTCCTAGGCTGGGACTCAGCGTCATGCCATTGTACGTGATATTTAAGTTATCACCGCTGTCAAGGCAATATAAAGTACTCATCATTGACCCAACAAAAGTATCTGACAATTCCATATCCATCGCAAGGACATTCATATGCTCACCACAAGTCGACCAGACTTGTCAACACCATATTGGAGAATATTTCATTTTCAGAGGATTTCTGGCCAGCCACCTGGTTGCAGCACTTTGTTGCTGGGATAGCAGCTTATTTCCAGGCCAGCATCTGAGAGAAAAGGAGCCAAAAAGGGCGGGTCAAAAGGAAACTGATACTTCACTGGGAGGCTGCCTCCCACAGACCTTTCTTCCAAATACATACAGACAAGACAATACATTTCAGTTGGGACCTCTGTTTTCCAGCAAGAACTGGAGATCCCCATGGATCAGGAGCCAAAGAATATAGGATTCACAAGGCTCAGGGTGATACATTTTGGATGTGTGTCCTCTCATATCTCAATTTTCAAATCAGTCTACAGTGTAATAATTGGGTTTCTTGAGCAATATTTTGAATGTGAAATCTAGCCCTATGCTTGTAATCAGTGAGTTTTAAACTCATGAGCTCTCAAGAGTGTTGATGATTTCACAAGTGGATATCATATCTACTTCTTAGTTTCTGTTCCATCTCAACTTGACTGCAGTGCTCTCTACTTGTTTGCATCACCATTCCACATTCCCTGAACCCTCAGAAGATGTTCAACTAATGCCATCATCTGGCACAAGTTGAGCGAAAGAATTCTTTAGTATGTATTCATGAGCCTGCCTCTCCAGTTCCTCTCATGCTTCACAAAATTGTCTTATACTTGAGGTTAGAGGAGACCGTGGATATCATCAAACACCAGGCTGAGAGCATCTGAAGGCTCTCTTTGTTCCAGTCTCATACAGATCTCAAGAGAAAATGTACTCATATTGGTTCAGAGTTCAGTTTGGCTCCATAACTAAGAATTCCTATGTCGCATGGACCACAGGAACTTATGAATGATGGTCATGATTCCCAGTCCCAGGTCTGCTCACCACTAGGATGGTGCATGCCACTGATTCAGCATGAGCAGAATATTTCATTAAGAGACACAAAGAGAGAATTTGTGGTAATGACTGGGTTGTGGTAATGACCAACTTTTGTCAAAGGGGTGAAGACAATACAATCAAATTTGCCAATTTTGTGGAGGAGTGCTTCCTCAGGGTGAAGCACCATTGGATAACCTCTCCTGTTTAGGGAGCTCCACAACTAGAGTGATGCCAGGGCCATCATCAGGTTCACATCAGTTTGCACACCTGTCACTTAAGAAGGTCCTCAGCGTAACTCTATTATGCATGACTTTTTTTTTTTTATTAATCAGTATTTTTTATTATGGTTTTGTGGGGTACAGTTAAGGGTTAGGTGTACAATTACGTTTCATTCAGGCACCCTGTTGATAAGAGGTGTTTTCCCATCTCCCGACAGATATTTGCTACTGTTAATTCCATCCCCCTCTCCCCCATAGTTTCCCAGTACCGTCAGTCATTTTCTTATAGTATTGCATTGGATGTTCAAGGTCCATTATATGAGTGAGAACATGTGATATTCGGATCTTTGTTTCTGTGAGAGGTCACTCAGTATTATAGAC